ACATGGTCTGAGGTTTTAAATTGGCATGCCCTGGTTTAGTCCCACTGGGCTAGGAAGGTGTGTCACCTATCATGACCATACTCAGTCTCTGACTGCCCAAAAGGGTGTGGCAATCATCTTTCCAGACCAGAATTCTTTTACAAAATACACAGACACTAGCTGTGAGGAGCACTGAGCACTGAGCTCTTTCTTCATCTACCCAGTCAATGAGTCAGTAGTAAAATGATTAAGATACAAGAGTAAATTAGTGAAAGAAACTATGGGTGTGACAAATGACAATCTGTGCCACTCCACAGATTCTGGACATTTCTCTATTCCTTCACTGGTAAACAGAACTGAAACAAGCTTTGGTGGTTGTTTGTGGACTCCCCAGTGCCTGGATGTAACCCTGGGAAGGAGGCTGCTATCTAGATGTGCTTCATCCTGCAAGGACGAAGGGTGATGGCTCAGAGCATCCTCTATCAACAATCTTTGAGGACACTAAATCTGGAGAGCAAGACCATGTGGATGAGGAACAGAAAGGGTGGGGCTAGCGGTAGAACAGGAAGGATGGTGTATGTCCACACCTCCATCTGAGCAGGGCAGGAAGACACTCCTAGGCAAGCAGGGGGGCTCATCACAAGGCTGCCATCATCTAGTTGGATCAGCCATTCTGTAGAGGTGTGACACATGAGCTCAAAAGTACTCAGCACGGAGGGCTGGAGAAGGATTGTGAGGCAGCTGATGCAGAAGAGGGATGGAAAGCAGAGAAACTCCTTTCACCAACTATCCTCTCCATTTCTTTCCCCTCGTTTCCTTTCTTTGTTTCCTATTATACTGTTTCCATCTCCCCCACTCTTTAATGGTGGTAAGAAAAAACTAATAACTTGATTATGCTAGAGCGAGTCACAAAAATACATCAGTTCATCAACTTCCTTCAGCTCTCTTTATTAGATATAAGACTTCCATTAATTGTTTGAGCATTTCACACTTGCAAAAAATGTACTTTGATCATGTTCATCCCTACTCCTCCCACAACTCATCCCAGGTCCTCCCCCAGCTCCTCCTCCCAATGTCATGCCTTCTTCTAATTTGTGCCACCCACATACTCATGGGTGTGAACCACCCACTGGAGTGTGACTGACCTACCAGGGACTACATCCCCGAAGAAAACTGACCCTCTCCCACCCCCAGCAATAATCACCTTTCAATATTGCCTCAGTAAAGGGTGAAAGCCATGAGCCTTTCCCACCTTTAAGTTGGAATGTACACGGTTTTGATTTTGTTCTGGTTTTGTGCAGGCAACCAAGGCTGTTATGAGTTCATGGGTGCATCTTAGCAATATTTTCCCCTTGTCTTCGCTGGCCTCTAGCTCTTAAAATATTACTACCCCCTCTTCTGAGATTGCCTGTGAGCCTTGGGGAAAGTCACTATACATCTTTAGTAATTAAGAGAAAGAAATAAATTGAAGAATAAAATAATTCAAATTCCAAGGCCCCTTCCAGATGATGAATTTCTATCATGTTTCATGATAATGTACCCTTGAGATGAAAATGTGCTTATAGAAATCATTATCTTCTGGATGAGGATGCCCTAACAAATGCTAAATATGTGGTAAAGTGCTGAGAATGTGTGTAATAGCCATTTGCTGGTATACTTCCTGATGTTAGTCCTTCCCATGAGGATTTATTGAGAGTACACAGTGATGAATGGAAAGAAGGGAGGGGGAGAGAGGAAGGAAGGAAAGGAAATTTGAAGTCACAGTTATGTGTAAAGCCCCTGCCCCCATCTGTCATTGAGGGAAGAGTCTCAGGAAAGGGCTCTCGGCTTGTTGGGTGCCTTCTTTTGTTCTAGGGCACACGGTTTCTTTGTCTCACTTTCTATCACAGCACCACCACTCTGGAGGAAAACAAATCAACCAAGTAACATGAGCATGCGCTGCGGCAAACCCTCCTGTGGGAAGTGCAGCATCCTGGCCTGGGGGCAGCTCCGGCCATGCAGAATTCCATGCTCCACAGTAGCTGTGCAGTCTGCATCCCCCCTCACTTCCATCAGATGCCGCAGAAAACACTCCATTTTCTAGGATCCCTGCTGCCCTAAGATGATAAATGAACGGTTCTTCTTAGGAGTAATTACTGCTTCCAGGAGCCGTGACTCCTAGAAAGCGATAATGGTAACTGAAGTTTTCCAAAGGTTCTGAGGACTAGGCCTGCCTGGAACCGAATTCTTTAAAGTCATACCAACAATCTAATAGTGAACTCACATTGCTCCCATTTTACCTACGAGAAAGCAAGAATTCTGTCGTTTGAAAACCCTGACCATGTTAAATTAGCACCTGAATTCTAAAGGCATGTTTATTTTGAACTGTCAAATTCCAACTTTTTAATTTTACTATGATTTGTTTTTCCTCTGAGTGAAATTTTTATCTTGGAGACAAATATAAGAAATAACTAGGTGAGAAGCGAGAGATATGGAGAGAGATGGGGCAGCCATTAAAGGCTAAGGCTCATAATAAGAGATTATGAAGCAGACAAGTTTGTTTTGTATTAGATAAAATATTGCAAAGTAATATTATCACATAAGGGATTTGAGGGTGCTGGCTGCTCCTTTCATCTGCTCCCTCAGTTCCACCTCCTGGTAATACAGCATCTCAAGGTTAGTGTGTGAATGAAGACATTGGCTGTGATCACTTCGTCCATATGGTCAACAATGGACCCTAACAGGCCAAGCATGCATCAGAGATCACCATGACAAATAACAACCATATATTTGCTCAGTAATGTTGTGTTTCAGTCACTGAACAACTCAACAAAGTTATGATGCACACAAAGTCCCTAACAAACATACTAACGTGTGCAACATCATCCAATCTTTGTGCACTATTACTCACCTGAAACTCCAAGAATTTCAGAGAAAAACAGCAGGGAAATGATGAGCACATGAGCAGGTAGAAGCTAACCTGGGAGTTTCTTCTTCGAGCCCTTGTAACATTGCTGTACACTAATGCTCAGCAGAGTTTGGATGCATCATAGAAGCTTATCTTCCATTAAAAGTTGCTTCTTTCCTCTTTCACCTTTTCTATTTTAATTCTCTGAAATACTATGCTCAGTACTTGATTTGCTTGTTAGTCTCATTAACAAGTGGCCCTGTGTTTCAGTCTGGATTTTACATGTTAAAAAAAAAATGTGGTTTATTCTCTTTGAATAGCAGGTGTGCTCTATATCATGTACATATCTGTATTTGATTGTTTAGCATTAAGTAAAAGCACACTCATAGATGATAATTTTAGAAGTTTGTTTACCTTTATTGTATTCGTATGTATCATTCTAAGGAATAAATTTTACTGCTGTCAACAGGGTGTGTCCTGTGTTTATTGACACACAAATACTTTCTTCTTTGAGACGGGCAAAGGTGAGAGATGTTGCCTATCCTCTATAAAACCCAATCATATATGAGGAAGCACCACCAAGGCTACCTACTCACTTGATAGAACATAAGGAAGGTATTAGCTATGGGATAAAGACAGACGTGTACTTTAGCAAAATTCACTATTTAAAAAAAAAAAGCAACAACCAAATAGTTGATTGCTGTATTTGATAGGCACAATTCAGTTAAAGATGCACCTTAGACAGTTAAGTGGGGGCATTTTCTGAATATCTGCACTAGATGTCTCTTAACCAAAATGATTTTAATAGCAAGTAATGGCTGCTAGTTTATTACTTAAAATACCTCCTCTAGCCCTCAGTTTTAAGAAGAAAAAAAAATCAAGACCTGAAATAGCAGAATCTTGAACACCATCTCCTGACATTTACCAGCTTTTACTCCCCTTATTACTTTACTGGTCCATTTCAGTCTCTCAATTTAAAAAGCTGTGGAAACCCCTAAAGTTACATCCGTTTCAGCATGGTGTTGTCAGTTTGGAGAATAAAATAGGTAGCATAGTTTCTGCAGAATTATGCACCTATGATAACCTATTTTAACACTGTTTCATGTTCACCAAAATGGGGTCTTGTGTTCTAAGACTTGTAGACATCTAATGTGATGTTTTCAGAGCAGGAGCCACTTAGTGGGGAGTTATTTTCAACATATTATTTAAGTAGAAAAATCTCTCTTGATGTAACTTATTTTTATTGCTGTAACTAATAGGAAATTTGGTAGCGAAAGCAATATATAAAATGATTCTCAGAAATCCAAGTAAAATAGAATATATTACCATTATGATTAATTTTGTGGCATGTAGGTTGTAGTGAGGTGTTTGTTCCATCTGGGGAGACAGAATGAAACACTGGACCAAATATTCTTGTATTTGAATTGAATATGTCCATGCATCCAGTAGACATTCATTAAAGCTCAACACACTACAATTTGTATTGGCTTTGCTGAAGCCAAGTGCATTTTTTGTGTCAACTAATTTCACTTTTTTTATGAGTAAATTGCTGGGTTTTTTAATTTGTATATTTTAAAAATTTATTAAGGGACACAGGTGTACATCTGGAGGTCAGAGGACAACTCCATGTGTCTGGGAATCAGAGGACAACTTTTGGGAGTCAGTTCTCTTTTTCTGCCATGTGGGTCCTGGAGATTGAACTCGGGTCATAAGGCTTGGTGGCAAGTGCCTTTACCTGCTGAGCCATCTCGGTGGCCCACTGTTGTTTATAATGTGTTGCCTTCCTTACAAAGGGACACATGAAATAATTAAGTGCAAGCACAGGATATGCTATCATTTCTTATTGTCTACATTGGAGGGAAGAGCAACAACCAACACAAATTGCATTGTTTAGAATAACTGCAAGGAGGCCCCTTGTGTATTCTGTGTGTTTAATTCACTAACTGAGACTCACTGATTTCTTACCCACGTCTTTATCCCAGGCCCCCCAGGCCCTCCAGGTGGCCTGAGAATAGAAGACATCAGAGCTACCTCTGTGGCACTGACTTGGAGCCGTGGTTCAGACAATCACAGTCCTATCTCTAAATACACTATCCAGACCAAGACTATTCTCTCAGATGACTGGAAAGATGCAAAGACAGGTAAGTTTGCCTGTCTAATTAGCCTAATTATGTTTCCATGTGATTTTCCTTTTTGTCCCTTCTAATTTTAATTTTTCCTCCCTCCAAGTCTTCCTAATGCCCTCTTTCTCCAATCCCTCCCATTACCCCCTCACTTTCTCAGATTGATGGTCTTTTTTTTCTTTTATTACCACTGTTACACACATGCATATGAATGCACAAATATATAAATAGAAGCTGCTAAATTTGTTTAGTCTTGCTTGTATGTATATGATTTCAGGGCTGAGCATTTGTATTGGATAACCAGTTAGGAGGCTCTCCCTGGTTGAGGCTAATTCTTCTGCTCTCAGTGATCATTTAGTTGCCTGTAGTTCCTTGTCTAGGGGTGGGACCCATGAGATATCCCCCTTCCACATTAGTGTATCCATTGGGATTATAATTGTTAAGGTCTTGTTAGGTAGCCATGTCATTGAGGTAACCTGGGTGAAGTTTCTTAGTCATTCCTAGGAGATACAATCTCACATGTAGCAGATTTCCTGGTATTCTGGTTATTACAGTTTCTCTGTACCTTCTTGATATCCTCGAGCCTTGGCTACAGGAGTTGTGTAGTTGTATTCCCTGGGGCTAGGCTCCCTGGGATCAATAGTTCTCTGAATTATGACCAATTTTGCTTTTCTGTAATAGTCTCCATTTGCTGACAAAAGAAGCTTCTTTGATTCATGGTGGGAGCAAAAATATCTGTAGATATAAAAGCATAAGGATATATTTTAGAATGCAGTTAGTATTATTTTATATTTGCCTAAAATATACATACATGTATATTGTTTTATAGGTTTTAAATACATTCCTTAATCATTCAAAGGGCAGATTTCACATATTATTTTCTGTGTGTATATACTGTATGTGTTAGTGTGTACATGGTCCTATATGTGCAGTTGTACACATGTGGAGGCCACAGTCACCCATGGTGTCATCCCTCTGGAGCATCCACTTATTTGTTGTGATAGACTTTAACTGGGACCCACGTCTGCTGACTAGTCTAGTGTGACAAACCTTCCAGTTCCATGTATCTGCCTATCTCCTTCTCCCTAGATCTGGGATTCCAAGTGCATACTAGTATGCCTGGCTTTGTACATAGATGAGGGAGATCAAACTCAGATCCTCATGGTTACATAGGCATTTTATCAACAAGCTATCTGCCCATCCTACTGGATGCTATTCTCTTAGTATCTACTTCCTTTTCCCTCTTTAAGAAGGTTATATTTACCTATAAGCCATGGCTTCCAGTTGGAGTGTGCTTTCTCATGGTAGAAGCTCCAGAGCTGTATGATTATCTTTCTACTTTTTTTTTTATCAAAGCAAATATGGTCCATGTCCATATTTGGAATCAACTTTTACCACCAAGAAACTCCAGTTGACCTTTTATGACCTATTGCCTCTACTCCTCCAAATATTCTAGGGAGTCAAGTAAGATTTCTCTATTGGGAGTATTCCCTGGCTTCCTGTGTTTGCAGAATTTTCAGACTAGTTCTTCATCCATCTTAAGTCAGCCTTTGAGCTGTAGTCTCCATGGAATAGCTGCATGGCTCTTCCCATTTGAAGCTAACATAACCCGTTCATAGCTGTTTGGAGGAGTCTCAGTGAAGCATTGGCTATCACAGGAGTAATCTATCATTGCCAAGATGGGCCTTTAGGAATGTGTCAAATGTCTCCAATCTTAAGATTTTTCAGTAGTGCTGAGGATTTGTTCCATGGGAAGTAGCAGAGTGGATCTGATTGCTTCTTTGAGCTTTCTTTAATGCTTTTTTTGCTCAGGACCCCCAAACTCTTTCTATGTGATCAACATAACAAACTTTTACAAATGCTGTAGCTTAAACCAATACAAATTGACTCTTATGGTTTCAGATGCCAGTCATATGATACCAAGGTCTTTTTATGGCTATACTTTCTCAGTTCCAAAGGACCACATATCCCTTGACTTTCCAGCTTCTGATATTTTATGTGATGTGATGTGATGTGATGTGATGTGTGTGTGTGTGTGTGTGTGTGTGTGTGTGTGTGTTTCTATATATGCATTTAGGAATGTGCATGTATACATGTATTCAAGGGTTCTTGGAAACCAAAGGACAATCTTGAATGGTATTCCTTACAAGAATTCTACCTTGTTTTTTGTGTCAGGGTCCTTTGCTGACTTGCAGTTTGTCAACTAGTCTAAGCTAGCTGGCCAGAAATCTCCAGTGATCCTCGAATCTCTGCCTCCCCAGTGGTACATTTATAAGCATGCTCTACCATGCCCAGATCCCAGATCTTCCAAGCTCTCTTCCAGTGTCTTGTAGAAACAAGAAACATCACCCATGTTCCTTGCCTATGACTGTATCACTTCACTATCTATCTCCATGGTCATATTTCTTCCTTCTCTTTGTGAGGTCTTTCTTCGATGTCTTCTACAAAGACACTTATCATTGGGTCACAAACTAACAGTTAATGGTCTTATATAAAAAATCTCTAGCTTAATTTGAGCCTCTTCTTAAAATTCTCTGCTGACACCCCACTGTTCACATTAGGTATCACACGGGTTCTGAATTTCGACATGGACATATTCTTGGCTATCTTATCATTTAGGATGATACAGCCTTCTTTCTATGGGCAGCTCAAAGGTGATGAAAAGAGTGACATGGGAAAAAGATTCCATCTCAATCAGAATTTTATTTTTTCCCTTTACTTGATGAAGATCTTTTATTGCTGCAGACCCTGACTTGCCCTCTTTCCATCATCTGAAATCAAAGTCCTTCTGCATGTGAATTTAAGCACATATGAGGATTTAATGTGAGAGGGAAACCACATAGAAAGAAAACAGAGACCAGAGGAAGCCAAAATTTTAATCAGGAAGTCAAAATTACATCTTCAGTCATTTAAAAAAAGCTGTGGCAAGATGATAGGACAATTGATGAAACCAGCATTCAATGGAAAAAAATTAAACAGGGGGCAACCAGAGCTAGCCCTGGCATGCAAGGTAGAGAAGGTGAAAGCTGGACACTGAGCACCACCTCCTCAAAGGCTGTGTGTTTATGATCTGCATAAACAGATGACAATTCCCCAAATATTAACATAATGAGTCACAGGCAAGCCTAAAAGAACAAATTCTCCAACTGGTATACAGGTATTTACATGTACTTGTGTGTAGGCTAATTATTAAAAACACATAGAAATGTTTGAAGCAAGCTTAAACTAAGATATAGACCTGTCTTGGTTATGTATTTTTATCATATCTCAATTAAATAAGCAAGCTAAGATCATATCTTAATGATGATTTATAACCTCCCTTGAGTAGCCGAAATGCTGAGAACTTCTTATAGCACATAGAAGCTTAGCTCCAGATGGTGTAAGTATACTTACAGGCAATATTATTCACGGTGTCATTTTTTAAATTCGAGCAGAAAATCATTTGCTCCCTATGGACCACACTAGCGTAAGTTCACCCAATTTCTGCCTTAGGATATCATACTAGCATTTGCTCCAAGAGAGTGGCTCTTTTCTACTCAAGGGGTAGCCCATGGATTAGCAGCAAGGCTGCAACGGGGAGCTTGGCAGAGCCCCAGAGCTTGGCAGGAGCCCCCACCTCAGGGTTTCTACACAGGCAAATTGCACACACATCTGTCACTTTCTCTAGATGGTTATCAGTGAACTTTCACGCTCCTCAACAAAGCATTTGTCATTGGTAGATGCTTTTGCGTTAACCGGCTGTGTATGTGCTGTCTTTCTGAAGTGGTAAAATGAAAATGGCTAGATACCGAAAGGATTTAGTCAACTGCTAATTTCTATTTTATGTTGATTTTATTGAGATCCCCCAATCATTGAAGGAAACATGGAGGCAGCAAAAGCGGTGGATTTGATCCCGTGGATGGAGTATGAATTTCGGGTGGTAGCGACCAATACGTTAGGTACAGGAGAACCCAGTATACCCTCGAACAGGATCAAAACAGATGGCGCTGGTATGTGCAATAACCTTTGTAAATGTCATAAGGTTACAATACTCCTCTAATATATACTAGGATGCATTTGTAAATATTCCTGTAATCAGTGGTTCATCCAAAAGTGTTTGTGTGTGTAGCCCAAAACAATAAAATAACTACTAAAATATTAATGCAGGAGATACTTTAATTATATAAAAACCGATAAGTATCGTATTTTCTCAGCATATTCTACCAGAAACTATTCAAATAAGGTTTATATGTAGAATATGCAGTCTTTAATATAAATTGTGAATCTTAATCACTAATCTTAAGATTAATGAATCTTAATCAATGATTAAGTGTCTGGCTTAAACAGGTTCAATGATTTGGGAGGTTCACTTCTCTGGCATACTACGGAAATATTTGCAGCTGAAAGCCCATGTGATTGGCACATATGGGCAGAGTTTAGAGGGCAAGAAGGGTCTGGAGACACGAGAGATGATGGTAAAGGTTCATAGGATCATGGCACCCAAGAGTCATGACTTAAGACACAGTCTCAGGTGTCATCTAACTAGGTTCTCATAGCAGCTCAACCAATTCTGATTCTAATTTTTATGCTAAATTCCAACTCCATTTAAATACCCTTTATTTTAATAAGTACTCCACTCTTTCTTTACCCCATGTTTCCAAAATAGAATGTTATTCTGATTCTAATGGTATTTCTTCTTTTTATTAATCCCTGTCTATTTAAAAACATTTTTTTATAGGCTGAGTTCATTTATTTTAACTTTCCTTGGCAAAAATGAGAGTTTTGAGTTAAAGATTTTAAAAAGATGATTGACTATTATTAAAATTCTGCTGTGGTCTCTTAATGTCACTTACCCATATTTTTGGTTGTCCCAGTTCTTCGACCCAATTTCCAAATAGAACTAGAAGTTTTAATGTCATGGGGATGGCCATAGAACTACAGTTCTATGTAGTTTCATGCAGCTGATCAGATAACCCTGATAGTGACAAAAGAAAGAAAATATCATTAAAACTCCTGGTTTGTTTTGGAAAGATTATCCCATTGCTTATCAATGGGGTGGAGAAGTTCAGGTAGTTGATTTAAGTCAAGGGCCATACTTATATGTTTGAAAGTTCAAATCCAGATGTCTTCCAATTCACGGTGCTAACTCTTCAAGATAGCTTTGCAAGCAGGACTCGGAACACACATCTACTTTATAAACTTGGATTAGAATCCTAACTGAGGCTTCAATTTCTTCCTTAAATATGAAGGTAAATGTCACCAGAAATTTTAGTTTTTGTATATTCCCCTACAAAATGACCTGGAACATCCTGTTTTCTCTACACCACAGAAATTTCATTAGGGGGAAACACAATCCAAGTTGAAACCGTATAGGATGCAGACACTGCCTAGCCAGGTCTTGGGTTTATTTACTCATTGCTATCTCAGATGCCACCTATGTTGCAATGGTGGCTGCTGTGTGATTATTTACCCTCTCTTGAGAAACAAAGAAAAACAAATGGAGTGTGACGTGACTAGTGGTTTTGACCACAGAATTCCATACCAAGAAATCACACTTGATTTGTTTGTACAAGCCTTCACTTCAGAATGAAATTTCAGGAAAATCTCAAGTGTTTAAGTTGGGTTAGGTAAATATTTCAGTTGTAACATCATACCTGTCTCAGATTTAGGGCATTTTTTTCCTCATTGAGTTGTATTTATTTTCTATTGTGTGAACAGTGTCTTTTCTGAACATCAGTTTCCTTAGTGAATATTGTCCATAATGTAGAAGGCAATCTTTGACATTGCTCATCTGTAGGACCTCCCTTTTTCTTAGGCATTTTGCTATAAATGATACTTTTATTTTTTAATCTCAGATAATATTGTTTAAAAGGACTCACTACCTAGAGACAATTACTATGAAGTCTATCATAAGTTGTTTTTGTATCTGATAGTAGAAGGATGCATTTTTTAAATCTTAGAAAAGTTGAGTTTGATTATTTTATATTGGAATATATAAAAATAATCAATATCTAATACCACATCTGGGAGTGGTAATACTTCAACTGACTGTGCACAATCTAGAGTTTTCAGCTAGAAGATATATTTGTAATTTAAGAAACAGTATTTTGATTAAAAATGGTAACAAAAGCATCCCCTTTGCTTTGTATCATCACAGGACACATCCCCACATCAATATCTCTGCAGTGAAGGCAGATTAATTTTGGTAGCTTTTATATATATATATTTGCCAATTCAGGTCCATTTAATGAGGAAAAACAGAATCACAACCAAGAATGATATGTAAAGCATAGTGCCTTAGTTTTATGCCTAATGAAACTATTATACTCTTGTATTTTTATTTACTCTGTTTTATTTATTTTTGTTTTCTATCTTTTTTTAAATGTGTTTAATACGAGGGGAAACATATTAGTAACAGTAATAGTATGAGAAAAATTATTGCCATTATTTTGTTTGTATGTAAACATGTTTAGCAAATGCACTAGAATGATTCTTTTGTTTTCATAAACATGAGAACAATAGAAATCTTTAATCCTTTAACTTCTTATAAATAACAAAAATATAATCGGATTGAGACCTGCAGAAAAATTTATTGTGCACTGTGATTTTTTGCTCACAACCTTTGTTTCTCCAAAACTAAATGTCCTCACCTGACCTGAGTTACTGCTTTATTGTAAGTCCACTGATGGAGTTACAGAGTTATGTTGCAGTTTCTTTATATTTATAAATATTAAACAAACTTGTGATCTTGCTGGATGAGACACCATGGGTTCCCAATCTGTTTTTATCCTCCAATAGGAAAGCATCTATTTAAATTGTGAGCCATGTGAGACTTTTCAGCATGCTCTACCACCAGTCTTACGAGTTACAAGTACTGTACAGTTCATTGGATTGTACTGTTAGCACTTCAGAACTGTGTATTAATGATATAATTGTATTGTAATCTCAAAAATAAAAGAAACTGTTAAAAAAAAAAGAGGCATCTATACATTGAAAATAGAACATTGAATGTCAGTCCTTGGTTTTATAGACTGACACATACAACCATGTTCAATTTTGTTTTTTTAATAATGAACTTTTGATATAAACTGAAATTTTTATGTTTAACTTTGTGTTAAGATGACAATACACGATAAAGCACGAATTAAAAAATAACTTGTCAGCACATTTTGTATCAAAAGCCAATCTTTAGAAAATACATGATTTTCATATTCAGAATTTCTTGCTGGGTGGTGGTGGCACATGGCTTTAGTCCCAGCACTCAGGAGGCAGAGGCAGGTGGATCTCTGAGTTTGAGGCCAGCCTGGGCTACAGAGTGAGTTCCACGAAAGATGCAAAGCTACACAGAGAAACCGTGTCTTAAAAAATAAATCACCACAGATTTTTTTATGTGCCAGTTTTAATGTTGGCAAATAAAGCCCAAACTGGAAATTATTTAAGAATTAAAATATAAAAGGAAAATTGGGAATATTAGGTTCTTTCATTGGAAAAAATAATCATGATATTATTGAGTTGATTTCCCAGCTGTTTTTGGGACTATAAGCTGAAACATGCAGGCCCTTATACAAATAAAACAAATCACTCTTTATCCAAAATGCTGGCAAAGGGATGATTTAAAACATCTTACTTTAAAACTATAAGTATTGTTTATTCACTATTAATAATTTACCACTTCTTAAACGTTAGTTCAAGTTTGTTTTGATAATTTATGGCTTAAAGAACACCAAGGTTTTTTTTCCCTGTTAAGTGCCTGAAGCCTGAAGCAAAAATTGCCTGCTAATGTTTATCAAGATTTACTTCCCTGAGACCAAGCATTCTGTGGGAAGACTTCCTCCTCAAGCAGGACTGAGCATAGAGTGCCAACTGCTCTGTTCTCTGATTCGATTTACACATATTACATGTCAATTCCCTCTGTGGAAAATTGCTTCTACCCTGCAAAAGCTAAAAATAATAAGTCAACAATCTAGGCAAAACAGCAACATTTTCTATTAACAGACATAGTTCTTACCTCTGTGGCTTTCTTACTTTGAGTTTAACAGCATGAGCAGAATGGATACTCTCTGAAAAGAAAATGAGTCTTGAACTCCTTACTTGAAGCATGCTAGAAAGTATTTAATTTATCACAAAATAGAAAATGTTTAGTCTAATAGAGATATAGTCTGTTTTTAACTGTTATAACTTAAAAGGTTTAAATTGGTTTTAATGAAAAGCATTACAAAGAAATGACTTGACAAATACACTTGTCCTAAGAGGAATATTTGATTCCGTACATTTCTATAACCATTTATTTAAGATTACCTTGAAATTATTCCCCCACAACCACTCTACTTGTATCTGGAGTAAAACAATATTTGATTTATTGATTTTAGAGAAAGACGCTTTTAATTTTTCCATAGCACACAGAGTTCTAAATGTAGAATATTAATTTGGGGGCTAAGAGCATTCACAGTTGTTTTAACAGCCTGGCCTGCAATATGTGGATATATTAACAAATGAGCTACACTTTACCTCTTAACATCCTTGTGTGTCTAATTTCACCCTCGAGTATACAAGTAGTGACAGTTGAATAGCAAATTTGTATCTTGGGCTTCACATTAATCTCTTCCTGAGGAAAGGAGATCACATAGCTTGATGGACAGAGGAGGAAAATGTATTTTAGTTTCTATGCTGCTGAAATATGTATTTCATCTAGGAATTTATAAGGCTGACATGGAAGTTTCAAAATATGCTTCTTTGAGTCACAGCTCTTTGTCACACTCTGATGCCCCCTGAGTGTTACCTTGCTAGAGGTACGTTTTGTGATGGGTATGACTAGGTCCCTATTGTGAAGAGATTTAGTCATGGAAGCACGAATACTTCATCGCCTTAGGGTGTGAGCAGATCTGGGGTGACAGCTAACATGAGCCAGTGCCATTGTGAGGGGAAGTCTGTTTCTTGTGGAGCGCTGAACTTGGCCCACATTGCTGGGAGTGTAGGGACAGGCGTGTGTAGTTAGAAGCCAAGTCCATGTATTCAGCAGAAGGCAATACCTGCCCTGGAGGGACTGCAAGGAGAGACAAAAGCCAAAAAGGCACTAGGCTGGGCAGATGAGAGCAGTGTGGCTTTAAAAAGAGTGAGAAAAAGTGATTTCTGTGTAGATGTAACCAACCATCTTATTAAAATAAGAAACACAGAACCAATGTAAAAGAGAAAGCCGAGAGGTCAGAGCTCAGAGATAAAATCTTACCCTTCCTCCTGCAGTGCTCTTAGCTTCCCCGAAAGAGAGCCACTTCCTGTGTGTATGTCTTTAAATAGTCTTTCTGTTCTGCCTTCTCATTGGTTGTAAACCCAAACACATGACTACCTCATCACTGCCTGTAAGTACCGCCCCCTAGGTCTTAAAGGCATATGTCTCCAATGCTGGCTATATCCCTGAACACACAGAAATCTACCTAGCTCTTCTTCCAAGTGCTGGGATTAAAGGTGTGCGCCGCTGCCGCCGCCACGCTCTTGCTATGGCTCTAATAGGTCTGACCACTGGGCAACTTTATTTATTAATATACAATGAAAATCACATTTCAGTACAAATAAAATACCACATTTCTGGGGCTAAAAGGAAACATGGAGGATTGTTGAAATTTGATTATGGGGTCAAGTACAAACCAGCTGTATATGAATTCTTCCATGCACATCTGTGTGTGAGTTCCTCCATGCACATCTGTGAGTTCTTCCAGGCACATCTGTGTGTAAATTTTTCCAGGCACAGCTGTGAGCGAGTTCTTCCAGGCACAGCTGTGTGTGAGTTCCTCCATGCACATCTGTGAGTTCTTCCAGGCACAGCTGTGTGTGAGTTCCTCCATGCACATCTGTGAGTTCCTCCATGTCCATCTGTGAGTGAGTTCTTCCATGCAGAACTGTGTGTGAGTTCTTCTGTGTCCATTCGTGACAGGAGAGGTGTGCTAGCCTGAGAATTAAGGAAGAGTACATAAAGGACAGTTCTCCGGTATAGAAACTACATGGTGGAGTCTCCACCAGACACAGAGACCCAAGGATGATGTGAGAGGATGGGTATACACCTCTGCTAGTGTGGCTGAGCAGCTCCTCCCGCTTTGGACTTTGCTTAGTGGATGAAGAATGCATGGTTTCTGTGGTAAATAAGAACTTCATTACAAGAAAAAAAAGCTTAGCTTCTGTTTACTTTTTGTAATTTTACTTGTTTCAGCACCAAATGTGGCTCCCTCAGATGTAGGAGGTGGGGGTGGAAGCAACCGAGAGCTGACAATAACATGGGCG